GCTATCGGAGAGGATAGTGTTCAGGAAATTCCTCCCAGGTGTAGACTATTTAAATCGTATGTGCTTCTATTCTTAGGCGTAATGTATTCTCAATTCGTCTTTTATCCCCTGTTTAGAAGAATAATTATCAAACATAATTTACAGCATTTAGATTTCTTCTGTCTGTTTTAAATTTAAGAATATATAGTTTTAAGAAAGAAGATAATTAGAAAATTGCTTGCTGTAATATTCTATTTAGTTATTGTGGAAAGTTAACTTTTCAAAAAAATGATCAGGTTTAAATGAGTATTTTTAACAAGAAATACCCCTACAAGTTAAATGTTTATCCTTATGAAACTATAAATATTAAGCAATTCCCTCCCTCCCCCCCTCACTTTCAACCCCCCCCCCCCCCCCCACACACACACACCTTATGAATTATTTTAATGTTCAAGCATGGTGAAGAAATGGCAATTAAAACTTAGACCACATATATGTAATTTAAACATTGCATTAACATACAAGGTTTTGGTGTTGTATGAACAGTGAAAGTTACGGTGACGTATTACTTGTATTGACAATATGTGCTGTGCTCCATTCAGTTCCTCTGAGATTTAAAGTACTTTACATACATAGCGATATACACCACAGGTTTATTGATATACTCAATAAATGCCCCAGCAGAGATCTAATGAACTGAAATGAATGAAAGGGGAATTTAAATTTTTACTTCTCTATAAAGATGGAATTGTTAATTTTGAAATCTGTATTGAGTTCCTGAGTAATGGGTATTATAATATATAAAGTATATATATATAGGTAATAATTAAATCTCTCTGGATGTAAGATATAAAGTCTAATTTTTTTTAATATTAGACATAATTTTGTTGTTACATTATGGGTCCATTTTTATGTTGACACACGGGGGGACATTGTAATGTGAGATATAGCAGTGTATGGAGATTTTCTGTTTGACTGGTATGCTGTTTACTTATATGAAGTTATTAAAATCTCTCTCTCTCTTATTTTTATGTCATTCTCTCTGTCCTAGCTGTCACTTTTTCCTTTTTGCCCCTCTCTCTCTCTCTCTGTCATATTTCTGTCATTCTCTTTATCTGTCCAGTCACTCCCCCCCCTCTCTCTGTCAATGCCTCTGTTTTTCTCTCACACACACACACACACGCTCAATCTTTCTGTGTGTCACTCTATCAATCTCTCTTTCCTTCCTTGTATTTTCTTATGTATGCCATTTTCTCTCTCTCTCTCTCTCTCTCTCTCTCTCTCTATATATCTATATATATTTCTGTATCTCGTCCTCTTTGTCTATTTCAACTCCCACTCTGTATCAATCTGTCTCCCTCTTCCTTTTTTATGTTTTTCCGTTTCTTCCTCTTCATTTCTCTGTACATGTCTCACTCTCTGAAGATCTCAGTCTATCATTCTCTCCTATAAAATTTTTGCTGTCAATCTCTCCAATAATTTTTGAAAAGTAAATAATTGTTTCATTAGAAGAAAATGTTTTATAACTTCAAAGCCAGCTTCTTATATACTTTGATCAGGTGGCCATGGTGCTGACTCTGGCATTTTGGAATTTTAAGTAATGACTTATTGCTTGACCAGAAAGTTCATTCTAATCTTTAATATGGTGGAGTTGTACTCGACTGATTTCTATTTTCTTACATTGAAGAAGTGTTTTATGAGAAAAAGAATTGATTAATTAGAAGATGAGATTGATATTTTGTTTAAGTTTAAAGTAGAAGTGACCAACCAATGTGTTCCTTCAGTCTGAATTACACATATTTAATGAGATTCAGAAACCTTTTAGAAAAAATAATTCACTGTAAAAGTACTTGTTTTTGAAGTTATCATATTTGAGCATCTTTTATGCTACTTGTCCTCTAAGTGAAAAACCAGTCGTATTCCACTGGTTAAGCACGCCAACCAGAATACAGTACTTAATAATGCACAAAGTGTATAATTATTTAATAATAATAATAATTAAGTTACAACTGTGACATATATGCTGTTATACAGTACTTTGGTTTCTCAAACACTGATACCGAATCTCGACACTGATCTCGAACACCATGGATAATGTTTAAGTGATTTGAAATTCCCAACCACTAATTCTTTAAGTGTTTTACCCCTGATATAATGAATTCATGGATATCTCAATTTTTTTTCTCTGTCCCATTGAGTTCCGAATATCAAGGTTTGACTGTGTGTTACAGTAAAACATTAATATAAATAGTCTCAGAGACTCTCTGAAGCAGTGGGATTTTTGTTTTTACTTACTAGGAAAAATGAAGACCAATTTCTGATATGTAATATAAATTGTTGTTAACACTTAAACTGGTTATAAACACAAGTATGAAATTTAAAGATCCGGACACATGAACATTGATGAAGTCTGACAAATATTGATACAGGTAACTCCGGTAAGTCATATACCTACCTGTGTGAAAGTCCTTCAAATATTGTCAAAAATCCGTGTTATGTTGACAAACGAGAGGTGTATTTACCTGTTCATTGTTTATTTAATAAATCATCAACTGGGACATTTTTTTTCCAATAACAGTTCAATTTGAAAGATCATTATAAAGATACATATTATGCTTTAAAAAAATCCTGTGTAGGAAATTAAGATTCATAAACAAAAATAACTGGATTCCTTACCCACCACTTCTCCTTTATTCTTGCTTTAAGAGGGGTCTCCAGTCAAAGCTTAATTGCCACATTTAAAAATGACATGATAAAATACTCATTTCATCAAAGAGGAAGTATTTAAACAATAGATATCTACATTAGAAAAAAGGACAATAAATTTTGTAATATTTTCAATGAAGTCGCATGTGGAAACACTGCGGTAAATTTGTATGACTGCAGAACTGGCTGTGAATAGGTGGATCTAACAACTGTAGGACAGGAATGTGTTTAGACTCCTTAAGAATTCTTGTTAATGCCTCATTAAACAGGGAATTAAGTGTTTCAATAATTCCAGAAATTGTCAGATTTGGAGTGGAATTTTTTTATGTTAGTTTTATGATCGTTTTAGTAGCAGATTGCCTTTGATTGACACTGTAAAAATTTAATGGGCCCCAAGGATTTGTTCCTCTGTGGAGGAAGAATTTTTGAATTACATGTCTATATTAATAATTGAAAGTTTTGAGAATTGTTCTCCAAAAAAGTTCTGGAAACCTCCAAGTCTGAATGTGAGCAGTTTTTCTTTAGGATAGAAAGAAGTGACCTTGATACACAGTAAAAAGTGTCCTTGATATAAATTTTGCCCAGGTAAAGGAATTTTGTGAATTTAGATATTTCTTATGCTGATTTATGGAATGATTTATGGAATTTTTGAGAAAGCTAAAGAGGAGATTAAAATTCATAAGTGAGTATTTCAAATCTTAAAAACTTTTACAGGTCAAGGTTGTAACCTTAATCAAGGTTATGACCTTGACTGAACAAGTGGTATGTTTTGAATTAAATTTGTTCTTTACCTAAGAATGTCTAAGTCTCAGATTACTTATGTAAAGGATTATTTCATTTTTTACCTGTAATTTATTTTTACCTGTGATTAAATATTAAGACTTAAAACAGACTTTACTTCCTGTTCAATATGTAAAAGGTTTATAGCACATAATTCTGCTAGGCTAACTAAACCTTCAAGTGGATACAATTGCAGATTGTTAACGTTATCATAGATATAATTTTTGCTGTAGATAGAAAAAATAAAATCTCTCTTATTACTTTAACCAAGGTTAAAAAAATTTAAGGAAAAATCATGATCATGGACAGTAGGATATGGTTCTCATCCATGACTAGATATGGACTTTGTTTTAAATAAATCAGCAATATCCAGGACCTAGATCCCTCAACTTGTAAGTTCAGAAGAACTCTTGTCTAAAATCTGAGGAATAGACAATCTGTGTGTAAGTTACTAAGGCCCTGAAGAACTACTTGTAAAAGAACAGTCAATATCAGTCTGTCCTTGACGATGTCGTGTTTAAATGGTGGATTTAGTTTTTATCAGTAAATTGAACCTCTCTCATGGACTTCAGGGTAAACATCCAGGATCAGATGATGACACAGTTTTCGTCTAGGTGTCTAAATTTACTTATGTATATCTACACTGTACATTTACCATGCTTCATATCTATTTATGTCTACCCCTCTCCAATAAACAATGCGAACACACATACTGAATTAAGACGTCTCCTGAATATTGAATTTCTGACTGATAAACTTTATATCAAAGGGACTTTGGTGGACTGAAGCATTAAATAACAGGTTTGGTTGTATTTTTTATTGACCATACTATTGAAGACTTGGGACTAGAATTTTTTTTTCCACGCGTTTATTTCATTGGTTTTTATTTTTACAGCTTTGATATAATGATGCTGTTTTCTACACAATATTTAGACTGTATTTTGTTCAGGTGACCTTCTTTGATTTAGTTGTATGATGTTTAATTGAAGTGCAAATTCACATCAGGTCAAGGGCACAGTTATTCTTACATGTCTAAAGGTCAAGTACAAACTTTGCAACCTTTAAAATTTACCATATTTTGGATTGGATGGGCATTATTTTAGATTTTAAGTACATTTTGGTCTTTAATTTACAAGCAATAATTATTTTTCCATTGATGGGTACAGGTTTGGGATTAAATTATGATCTGATCTGCTAGTATGACTTAATTAAGACAGTAAAATGCTCTGCAATTAAGGAGAAAAAAAATGGTGGTTAAAAGTTTAGTTTGGTTATGAAGTAACCTTGCAGTGCAGTAAAATTGTGACTGGTGTACTAACCTTAAAGCTTTTATATTCCAGAGTGACATGGTGGTACTATGTAAAATTGTGACTGGTGTACTAACCTTAAAGCTTTTATATTCCAGAGTGACATGGTGGTACTATGTAAAATTGTGACTGGTGTACTAACATTAAAGCTTTTGTATTCCAGAGTGACTTGGTGGTACTCTGTAAAATTGTGACTGGAGTACTAACATTAAAGCTTTTATATTCCAGAGTGACGCGGTGGTACTATGTGGAAAAAGATCTTTGCCCTGTTTATTGGGGTCCTGGTAGGGTACTGGTTGATTGATGACTTTAATCCAGGTAAGATTTGATTTCTCTCATCATTTCACCTTAGTCACAACGGTGACTTAATTGTAACTACATGTTCCTGTACATCGCTGTGTGCTAGGTTTGAAGCATTTTCAATTTCTGAAATGAAATGGCTGTTTCAGAATGAAGGAGGTAAAAAAATGAATGTCATGGCTCCCACCATCCCCAAAGCTTCAGGGGCCAATAACCTCAAAAACCGTGTCATCTTCAAAAATTTTTATCTATGCCATTGTTTGTTTTTACTTTTATCCCTCTTGATGTTTTCTGCCCCCCTTTTAATTGCTCCTTGACATCCATGCATGTTGATGTCATGGTGCAGGCCCTAAAGCTGAGGCTATTAATTTGTGTAAAATATTGAAAATTTATGCATTCAATTTTTTTTTTACTCCTGAACAGGACATTCTAAGCATGATGACAATAAACTGTGAGACCTATACCAAATTGTAAAATTCTGGTCCAGACGGTTCAGACCCATAATGCTTGGGATCACAGTTTATCATTTATCACATACTGGAAATAGATTTTATCTATTAAAAAATCTGCTATTGCCTAGAACATCTAGGAGACAGTCTTATTGCAATATGGAAAAGAACAATAGTCCTCTACCAACTTCTGGAAATCACAAAATATAGGTTCAAGATTTTGGGGTTCGTTTGCCAAACTAGGGTACAAAGGGGACTTTCAAGGCATTTTAAGAATTTTTTGCATTAAGTTTTACTTTTGATTGTAAAAATTTGTAATTGATTCTAAGAATCAGAATTGACAGAATGATCCAAGTTTTTACTTAAATTGATCACCACCCCATCAGTAATGTGTGAATAGTAGACAATTTGAATTTAAATTGACAAATATTTATTTATTTATCAAACGTACAGAACAATTGTGTTTCATCTAGATGTACTAAAGGGAAAGAGAGTTGTTGTGACAGGCTCCTCCACAGGAATTGGGGAACAGATTGCGTATCACTATGCGCGTATGGGGGCCCAGGTACTGGTAACAGCACGAAGGGAGAACATACTTAAACAGGTACATTTGTGACGTCTCGATCAGTCATAAACATGATACAATAGAATACTCAGTAGAGTTTTTGAAAACTTTTGTTAGAGAGAGTGTTTAAGGTTCATGGGTACTCTGATAAGAGAGATAACTCTGACTAGGATATATGTCTAATATTTCTTTAATGAAATCCCCAAGTTAGAATGTCATTTCTGTCAAATTTAACTCGCAAGTGTTTGCTGAAATTTCATGCTTTTCAATAATAAATTAGAATTTTTAGCTCAACTCAACAAAGTACGGGTAATATGAGTACAAGTACTTATGTAATACCCTCAGCGTTGGTGTTGGTGTCCTAGGGTTAAGCTTTTGTAGCAGATTTCTTTTTAGTTACTTCTATGCCCTATTTTAATTAAGGAATGAAGCTTATTTTAACCTATGTTATATGATATAAAATAACTTGGGACAGTTAACGCTTTATTTCGCGTTTATAAAAAAAGCGTAAACTGCCCCAAGTTATGTTATATTGTATAACATAGGTTTAAATAAGCTTCGTTCCTTATAATTTAATTTCAGTGTAGACAATAAGACAATTTTCCTCCAAAAATGGCTTCAAATTTAGCATAATTTAAAAGTGACATCAAGCGGAGTAATACGTGTTTGAGGTAACTCATTGTAACGTAGGCAACTTATGTTATACAATATGAATTAAATCTTTTATCCAATCAAATGACGTGTAACAACTAAAATTAAATTATTCGGAGATGCATAAAAGAATCTCCTAGTAAGTTTCATTGTACCAGTCAAGGTTTCAGATGCTGCAATTTCAGCTAAAGAATGACCAGGTAATGTTTTAGGAGCAGGTTAAAGTTTTTTTGGAGCGGGTCTCATTTCCAAGTAGCTATAAAGCCCTACATTGACCAAACTTGCATGGATGATACATCTAAGGATGCACACTACCAGGCATGCTTCAGATGCTGGATCTGACCTACATTTTCCAGACAAGTGACCAGGTTAAAGTTTTAGGAGTAGGTCTCACTTCCAAGCAACTCTAAGCCCTATATAGACAAACTTGAATGGATAATACATCTAAGAATACACTCTACTGGACGTGCTTGGGATGCTGGATCAGACTTACATTTTCCAGATGAGTGACTAGTTTAAAATTTTTAGGTAAGTCCATTCCCAAGTAACTGCAAGCCCTATCAGACCAAAATTGCATAAATGTTGTATCTAGGATGCACACTACTAGAATATTAGTCTAGTGTGTGACTACATTGAGGTGAGCTCTGTAATCTCTGATTACTTATGTTTTTCATTAGTGTTTAAAGAAAAAAAATATTTGAGTGACGAAAGGGATCAATTGAACCTTCAATAAGCTGTGTCTGCTGCCCAATCCCATTTTCTTTGAGAAAAGAATTCTGGGTAATGCTTCATGAAAGTAAATTATATTAAATATTGAAAAATATGATTTTATCATGATAAAGCATATATGCCCACAAGTCTTGTAATTCATTTAGAGTAGAACATGCTTTGGTCTTCCGGAACTGTGTGAATTGTCAAGTCATGAAAAAACTGTCTACACCTTCAACATAATCTGAAGAATGTACTTTACTTAATATTTGACCCTCTTAGCATTGTTGTCTAATAACTGTTAATTTCCTGTGGTTAGCTACCTTAAGTGGAAAAGGATCTCTGGGTTTGCCTTGTCTGCAAGTTTTATGCCAAATTTGTTAAGTGGCAAGAAAATCTGAAAAATGTAATTAGAGTGCTGTTAGATGTACTGTGTTTCCCATTGATTTAGAAGATACTTGGACACCATGCACACAGATTTTGAAGTTGAATCGTTCCAAATTCATTATAGTCTCGGACAGTTGTTTCTGCCAAACACTGTCATTAAATCTAAATTAAATATATAATGTCTAAACTTTCAAATCAAACCAAAATTGCTTTCATTCCCAACTTCCTTCAATTCTTACAATTTTTACATGAAAAAGATTTTTATCAAATAGTATAATTCATCCGATATTAATTAATTTGTATTTACATATGTAAGTAAGTTTTATTTTGTGCCTACAACTGTTTGAATGATTTTAAAGTCAGAGAAAATTTGGACGTAATGAATATATGGTGGGACAGGGAGAGCTGTAGAACTGTAGCTCTCTGAGAATGTTCAGACAGACAAACTAGAGAGCTACAGTTCCAAAGCTAGCACAAGGAATAACACCACCTAAACAACATGACACCACCTAAACAACGTGACACCACTTAAACAACATGACACCATTTAAACATGACACCACCTAAACAACATAACACCACCTAAACAACATGGCACCACCTAAATAACATGAGAATCTGTGGTGTTTGAACAGGAGTAGGCCATCTATGTTGCAACAATATTTGATTTTGTGATGTTTGTGATTGGTAACTAATGTCTGACTATGAAATGTTTGAACTGGAGTACAAGCTTGGGGTAGGTACAGAGTCTGACTCTGTAATGTTTCAGTAGGTGTACACCCTTTAGGTTGCTACAGTGTCTGACTCTGTAATGTTTCAGTAGGTGTACACTCTTTAGGTTGCTACAGTGTCTGACCCTGTAATGTTTCAGTAGGTGTACACCCTTTAGGTTGCTACAGTGTCTGACTCTGTAATGTTTCAATAGGTGTACACCCTTTAGGTTGCTACAGAGTCTGACTCTGTAATGTTTCAGTAGGTGTACACCCTTTAGGTTGCTACAGTGTCTGACTCTGTAATGTTTCAGTAGGTGTACACACTTTAGGTTGCTACAGAGTCTGACTCTGTAATGTTTCAATAGGTGTACACACTTCAGGTTGCTACAGAGTCTGACTCTGTAATGTTCCAGTAGGTGTACACACTTTAGGTTGCTACAGAGTCTGACTCTGTAATGTTTCAATAGGTGTACATCCTTTAGGTTGCTACAGAGGTCTGACTCTGTAATGTTTCAATAGGTGTACACCCTTTAGGTTGCTACAGTGTCTGACTCTGTAATGTTTCAGTAGGTGTACACCCTTTAGGTTGCTACAGAGTCTGACTCTGTAATGTTTCAGTAGGTGTACACCCTTAAGGTTGCTACAGAGTCTGACTCTGTAATGTTTCAATAGATGTACACCCTTTAGGTTGCTACAGAGTCTGACTCTGTAATGTTTCAATAGGTGTACACCCTTTAGGTTGCTACAGTGTCTGACTCTGTAATGTTTCAATAGGTGTACACCCTTTAGGTTGCTACTAACAATGTCTGATTCTGAGGTATGTGAACAATAATCAGCCAATTGAATTTCCACTGAGATTAAAAACCTCAAAACTGGGTACATAGAACATGACAAACTTTCTTCATTAATTATTACCGTATCTGTACATGTTTCTAGATTGTGGCATTATACAAGGTGATCGACTTTCTACATAATTATTATTCAATGACATCTGTTTCAGGTTGTGGCTCGCTGTAAAGAACTCGGACCCAAGGATGGCAAATATTTCTACAAAGCAGCAGACATGGTCAACATGTCCGCAACAAAAGATGTTATACAGGTTTCAAATCTAAAGTACCTATATAATTCACCAATACTAAGTAACTTTAAATACCTGTAACACTATTTATCACTATCATTTTTTAGCTCACCTGAGCAGAAGGCTCAAGTGAGCTTTCTGATCACATTTTGTCCGTCGTCCATCCGTCTGTCTGTCCGTCTGTCTGTCTGTCCGTCCGTCTGTAAACTTTTCACATTTTTGACTTCTTCTCAAGAGCCACTGGGCCAATTTTGACCAAACTTGGTACAAAGCATCCTTGGGTGAAGGGGAATTTAAATTTTTAAATGAAGGGCCAAGTCCCCTCACAAGGGGAGATAATCAAGAGAAGACAAAAATAGGGTGGGGTCATTAAAAAATCTTCTTCTCAAGAACCACAGGGCCAGTAAAGCTGAAAATTATATGGAAGCATCCTGGGGTAGTGTAGATTCTAAATTGTTCAAATCATGACCCCCGGGGGTAGGGCGGGGCCATAATAGGGAATCCAAGTTTTACATTGAAATATATAGGAAAAATCTTTTAAAATCTTCTCCTCAAGAACAACTGGGCCTGAAAAGCTGAAACTTATGTGGAAGCATGCTGGGGTAGTGTAGATTCTAAATTGTTCAAATCATGACCCCTGGGGGTAGGGCGGGGCCACAATAGAAAATCCAAGTTTTACATTGAAATATATAGGAAAAATCTTTAAAAATCTTCTTCTCAAGAACCACTGGACCTGAAAAGCTGAAACTTATGTGGAAGCATGCTGGGGTAGTGTAGATTCTAAATTGTTCAAATCATGACCCCCGGGGGTAGGGCGGGGCCATAATAGGGAATCCAAGTTTTACATTGAAATACATAGGAAAAATCTTTTAAAATCTTCTTCTCAAGAACCACTGAGCCAGAAAAGCTGAAACTTATCTGGAAGCATGCTGGGGTAGTGTAGATTCTAAATTGTTCAAATCATGACCCCTGGGGGTAGGGCGGGGCCACAATAGGGAATCCAAGTTTTACATTGAAATATATAGGAAAAATCTTTAAAAATCTTCTTCTCAAGAACCACTGGACCTGAAAAGCTGAAACTTATGTGGAAGCATGCTGGGGTAGTGTAGATTCTAAATTGTTCAAATCATGACCCCCGGGGGTAGGGCGGGGCCATAATAGGGAATCCAAGTTTTACATTGAAATACATAGGAAAAATCTTTTAAAATCTTCTTCTCAAGAACCACTGAGCCAGAAAAGCTGAAACTTATCTGGAAGCATGCTGGGGTAGTGTAGATTCTAAATTGTTCAAATCATGACCCCTGGGGGTAGGGCGGGGCCACAATAGGGAATCCAAATTTTACATTGAAATATATAGGAAAAATCTTTAAAAATCTTCTTCTCAAGAACCACTGAGCCAGAAAAGCTGAAACTTATGTGGAAGCATGCTGGGGTAGTGTAGATTCTAAATTGTTCAAATCATGACCCCAGGGGGTAGGGCGGGGCCATAATAGGGAATCCAAATTTTACATTGAAATATATAGGAAAAATCTTTTAAAATCTTCTTCTCAAGAACCACTGAGCCAGAAAAGCTGAAACTTATGTGGAAGCATGCTGGGGTAGTGTAGATTCTAAATTGTTCAAATCATGACCCCCGGGGGTAGGGCGGGACCACAATAGGGAATCCAAATTTTACATTGAAATATATAGGAAAAATCTTCTTCTCAAGAACCACTGGACCAGATAAGCTGAAACTTACTTGGAAGCATGCTGGGGTAGTGTAGATTCCAATTGTTCAAATTATGACCTCTGGGGATAGGGTGGGGCCACAATAAGTACTACGGGGGGGGGGGGGGGGGGGGAGAGAGAAATCGGGTGAAAAACAGCAAGGCCAAAGTTACTCAGGTGAGCGCTGTGGCCCATGGGCCTCTTGTATTGTCATCTCCATAGTAGTGTATTAAAAAGATTTTACAGTCAAAAATATAGTTATTTATAATCACTACATAAGAAAATCAGCAATGTTCTATAATTTTATTGTATTATTTATTGAAAAGAAAAATGGAAAAGTTAAGAAAAACCCATTTGAATTCATGTTTAATATTTGGTGACTTTATTAAGGACTTTAGTCAGGCATTTGGGATAATGAATTGTAACACCCTGCACCCTCTAACATTACGGCTCTGAAGAAATGGTCTCAGAGTCTTTGACATTGTTCTCACTAATAAAATATGTTCTACTGTATTGAAAAAAGATGTTCTCATGTTGGAAATTGAAATGTTTCTTTTTAACTGGTATAGAGAAAATAATGCTTAACTGCCAATTAATGTGAATGAAGGATCCATTTTTGTTTTTATTTCTTAATTAGGAAGCTTATGACAGACTTGGTGGTATAGACATTCTGATTCTGAACCACATACTGCCCATCCCCCTGGGTATGTGGGACGGGTCCCCACAAAACCTCTCCCTGACGGATAAAATTGTGGACGTCAACTTCAAGGCTTACGTCCACCTCACCTCTCATGCTCTACCTCATCTCGTGGCTTCTAATGGCAGCCTCATTGTGGTGTCTTCACTGGCAGGTAAGGGTCCTACCTCATCTGGTGGCCTCTAATGGCAATCTGTCTGTGGTGTCCTCACTCGCAGGTATGAGTCCTACCTCATTTGGTGGCCTCTAATGGCAGCAACATTGTGGTGTCTTCACTAGCAAGGTCATCACCCTTCATGTTCTTCCTCACCTGGTGACCTCAAAAGGCTGGTGTCTTTTCTGGCAGGTAAGAAACTTACCTCTCAGGCTCTGCGTCATCAGGTGCCAGGTAAGGGCCTCACCTCTCATGTTTCACCTCATCTGGTGGCCTCTAATGGCAGCCCCATTGTGGTGTCTTCACTGTCAAGTAAAGATCTCACCTTTTTTCTCTACATCATATCAGCCACAAACGGCATCCTCTTTGTGGCAGCTAAGGCCATTTATAAAAAGTACTCCAAATGCTATGCGAATTAATTTATTTAGCATGTAAAGAAATAACTGTGATAAGCTGAAAGGTAGAAGAAGGTTCTCACCTGTTTTTAAGAAGTATTTAGTCAAGGTCATTAGCTCAGAAATGTTAAATTCTAAAGGCTCCAAAGGTTAAAAGTCTAAAAACAGTGCTCTGTAGGTTCGTGAGAGGATCATACTTGGCACAAAGATAACCCTTGACCAAACATCTGTCTAGTTGTATATGGTCAAGGTCACATTGTTCAGAAATGTTAACCTTGCTTCTACTAAGACATTTTTAATCCTATGATTGTGAAAGTTCCTACCCTCCTTCTGTAAACTTATGTCTAGGTGTCAGAGGTCATAGACAAACTTTAACCAAATAATTTTAGAATTAATATTTTAAGGGTCACAGGAATTTGCAATATAATTTTTAATATCAGATAAACGTGTTGTTTTTAAAGATAATTTCCAGTTTGCATTATGATTATTAGTTTCCATTAGGAGAATTCTAGTTGGAGCACATATTAGTTTTGTCAGCTAAAGGAATTCAGTGTTTAGGCACTCTTGACTTTTTTTCTGTAATAAATAATGGTACAATACTGTTTGTCTTATTTTTAGGGAAGATAGGACAGCCCTTCACCGCTGTATACTCCGCTACTAAATTTGCTCTGGACGGATTCTTTGGTGCTCTCCGTCAGGAATTTAAACTCAAGGGATGTGATGTCTCCATTACTCTGTGTGTAATTGGTCTTGTTGGTAAGTCATTTTGAAAAAAAAATAAGAATTATTAAACTTGTAAAAGCAATATGAGCTGCAACTCTGATGTTGGAAATTTTTGTTGCAATATTGTAAGTAAACTATTTCAATGACAGAAAAAGGAACATTTATAATCTTTCGTTGTTCATATTTGCAATTATGGAAGAACTATTTATAAGCCTTTAATTGAAGCAAAATTATATTATTGTCAACCTGTACAATAATGATTTTTTATATAATATTTTACATTCAGTTGAACAGAAATCTTTTTTTCTTAAAAAAAAACAACTTTATTTTATTCTTATTGATCTTATTAAATTTAAATTAAATTTGTTCAAAGGATGAAATAGTTTGATTTAACTTTATATTTTACTTGGATATATTTCAAGTTTCATTTGATCTAGCTGATATTAATCAATTTTTTCAGTTTTTTTTTTAGCTCAACTGAGCTGAAAGCTCAAGTGAGTTTTTCTGATCACCCATTATCCATCTGTCCGTCTGTAAACTTTTCACATTTTCAACTTCTTCTTAAGAACCACTGGGCCAATTTTAATCAAACTTAGTACAAAGCAACCTTAGCTGAAGGGGGGTTAAAATTATAAAAAAGAAGGGCTTAATCCCCTTAAAAGGGGAGATAATCAGGAAAAGACAAAAATAGGATGGGGTCATTAGAAAATCTTCTTCTCAAGAACCACTTGGCCAGAAAAGCTGAAACTTAAATGGAAGCATCCTGGGATAGTATAGATTCTAAATTGTTCAAATCATGACCCCCGGCAGTAGGATGGGGCCACAATAGGTATTACAAGGGGGAAAATCTGGTGAAGAACAGCAGGGCAAAAGTTACTCAGGTGAGCGATGTGGCCCATGGGCCTCTTGATAGAAAATGCATTTTTTTCATTCAATAAAAGAAATAAGCAGACATTTTGTGCAATGAATCAGAAAAAAATTGCACATGAAAAATATTTATTTTGTTGAAATGTGCAAACAAACAAGCAGTCTTCCTTCTTTCTAGTTTTCTGTCTGTTTGTCCATCACACTTTGCATTTAGCTAAGTTTAAAGACATTTTTAACAAGCTTCTTAAGCTCAAAAATATTAATGATGGCTATTCACTGCATTAACATCGTCTGCTTTGACTTTCCCTTTGACCTTGACCTCTCTTTTCTAAAATCAAAGAACAGATTTTGTGGTTTCACTATTACATTTTAAAAAATCAGCATAATTAAATATTTATATGTCAGAATTAGACAAGTTTTACTGTAATTACACTGGTAATGTTTTATACTTCATTTGATAACAGGTACAGAGAATGCGATTCGTGGCCTCCGTGACTATGGACAACACTTCCTTCTAGCCAAGTTACCAGCGGAAACCCCCAGTGACACAGCCTTGGCTATAATAAAAGGAGGGGCCAGGAGACAGAGAGAAATCTATCATCCCTACCTCAGTATGAGGGTCATGACCTTTCTGCGGGACTGGCTACCAAATGTTGTGGAGTATATAAACAGATCTATGTTCACCGTACCTCCCTAAGGCATAGGTAAACTTAGGTTAAAAGAAAGGATAGAGTCTGAAGAAAGGGAGGGTGTAAAGTCAGGACTTAAAGTCAAGAAGGAATAAAATGGCAGCAATTTGTAATTTCTAAAGCTGAAAAACTACTGTGGGCAGTTTTTCAGATGCTGGAGTAAGAAAATAAAAAAAATATATAGTAAGGTGTTAGACAGAGATACAGTAGGAGGCTATATATAGTAGTCTCTGAAAGTGAAAGTACTGGGGAGGATCAAAGAGAGGTGTTTGCCTATGTGATTTGATAGTCAGTGTGTTTGTATTTATTTTCATTTTGTGTGAATGTGTGATAACATGGGTAATGAAGAGTAATTTGTTTTATCTTCAAATTATTTGCATTTTATATAATAAACAGGCAGTTTTTTGGGTTTTGGGGAAAAATATATTAAAAGTAGGTAATAATCATTGCCTCATACCAAGAACCGGGGATGATAATCTTAAGATGTTAACTTTTTTTTTGTTTAGAGGGGGTGACTTTTGTAATATACAGTATACTTGAAACTTTTATTTTCAATTAAGCCCCATCATGGGGTATGTTAGTACAATAAGAGTTTAACAATTGAAGAAATCAACATGTGAACAGTTAACATAATGAACCACAAAGAGAACTTTGATTTGGACAGTACTGATGGTTGTATAAAAAAAATCGTTAAATGTTTACATTGTACGAAGTTCAGGCATGAAATAATTTAAGAACAGTTTTACAAAACTTAGCTAAACCTATTAGTTCATATATATCAGAAGTATTCATCAAATTATAAAAAGGTATTGTGTTTGGATTTGTGTAAATATAGCAGATAATATGACAGGGAATGGGTCATTTTTTGAATTACCTACCTTGACAGAACTTTTTTTATATATAGAAGAGAATGGGAAAAGTATCCAACACAATAACTTGTATCAATAACTTTGTAGTGCTTGAGGAGCTTTTCACAACAGGAGTTACTTCTCATTGACTTCCCTTTAAGAGGTATTCAAATTTATTTTTATCTCCATAAAGTTCAGGAGAAGAAATTGTTTGAAAATGGCATATCATTTCTATTTAAAACGTATAAACGAGAGTATCTATCTACCTTAACTTAAAGAGAGATAATCCAAACATGGCATGTAGATAAATCATGATGGCAAAATGGAAACCCGTTTGAATTTTGATTATAATATTAGTAGCCTTTTCCGGATTAGAAATCACTGTTTAAAATGGCATTTAATACTGGACAGGGATTTTCCCAGACTTCTCTTCCTAGTCTATTGTATGATTGGTGTTAAATTATACACGTGTGAATGTGTTTGTTTGTTATTTTTGGTTTTGTTTTTTGACACATAGATTGTGTTTTACCTAGTTCAGGAATTTGTTTTTGACATGCTTTTTTTTTGCACTGAAGTCCCATCTAGAAAGATTTCTTTTATCCAGTTCAAGAAATGTGGGTAAACATTCATTAATATGATTTTTTTATTATTGTATTGTCCTATTTAATTTCACAGTGCTTCAATTTTTTTCTCTCTCTGTGTAATGTTTGAATTTTTTTATATTAATAAAATGGTGCTCAGAATGTATTTTGCAAATGTTAATGCACTTCAAATAAAATGGTGAAATTATTTTATTGCATATAGATGTTGCATTGTCATAGAGTCGTGGGATGTGTTAAAGTTCATAGTGGCTACATAGCTCTACATTAAGGTTTGATGTTGAACAGTATGCTTGCCTAGCCATAAAAATTATGTTAGAGCATTCAACAGAACTGGATTTCTAGCCTAGCAGCTATGATATTGAACAAAGGACTAGAGTGGCTTTTAATTTTATCTTTGAAAGTTAACATTTCTGTAAGATTTTGTTTGTGGAGAATAGTACACCCAAATGAGAGAAATTTAAAAAAAAAAAGACGAGAGTTTGTTTTGTTATAATCAATTCTACGTCTTTTGACAATTCAGGAAGTATTTTGTTGGATTAAATATTAGGATTAAAATAGACTAAGTTTAGAATTACAAAGTCATCATATGAAAATTATTTCCGTCTTTATCATTAATAATGTAAATGATGAATTTAAATGATTGCTAATGTATAGTCCCATTTAATGCATAAGTTCTAGTATTTATGTATTTGAATTCCTTATTTATTTTGTTAACTTTATTTTTTGTCAGAATCAGGGATAACACTTTTACCTGAAGTTATGCACAGTGGCTATTGCTTAATAAGATTGTCAATATTTAAGACAGAAAGTCCTGTAGATAAAAAAAGTCAGATAGATATAAAAGTCAAACAGGTAAATAATCACACAGGTATGATGGATTATAATTTACCTGTTAAGGATGTTCATTTCCATATAGAAAGAAGGGTTACTTTTTGTATTAAATTAAATTGTCCAAGAATATGGGGGAAAAAATTTTGCTACACACTAATTTTCCTGCATTCTAATTTGAACCTCATTTTGGTACTGACATATCCCCCTCCCAAAGAAAGGTGTTTTATTTTTGACAGGAAATGCAAACTTTTTAAAACAGGATATTATGGTAGGTGGTTGAAATAAACACGGTATGATTTTTCCTCTTTCATTTCTTTAGGAAAACTCATGATTGGTGAATAATTTCATAAGTTCAGCATTTGTGTAGGACTTCTTATAGTTGTGTGTTTATTATTTTTTTCTGTTTAAAATACAAATTCAAAATTTCCTCAAATTCACTGTGTCTTCTTATATGTGCAATAAAACCACCTTTTTATGATTGAAACAGAACAAACACAATAAAACAATACAATGTATACTGTTTTATAATTTTTTTGTATCAAAAATGGAAAACAAAATCATTCCCATGGGATGAAATGGACAAAGTCAAGGCTCAGTCATCGTAAAATATATATGGTCGGTCGACTGATATTCAAATTTGAAAGTAAAGGCACTCTGTTGAAGTTATCTTGGAAAAAAAGTCGGAATGTTTGACCTCTGCATTACAAACAAATTTAGAGTCTATTTCCTGCTTTATCCTTTGAGGACTTGTATTTGACCTTCAGACACGTCATAGTTTTAAGTTTTGGGACACAAGTCGCGTGGCCAAATTGTATCTCCCTTGACCCTGATTTCGGAAGACCTTAATAAATGAGGTTGCTTTCTGACCAAGTTGACAACTAATTACCCCCCCCCCCCCCCCCCCCCAAGCGCTGGGTCCTTAAATACTTGGGAAACTTCACTTTAAAAGAAAATGTTATGGGCTGATAAAGATTCGTTCTTATTAATTATTTATTTCACCCTGTGTTTGGGTGCCCGCGTGGTGCAGTGGCGTTTAGAGTCGCGATTAAGTTGATCCTAACGTTGCGGGTTCGAACCCACTGTGTGACGTGGAGACTGGTCCTTCGGATGAGACCGTATAAACTGAGGTCCAACGTTGCAGTAGGTGCTAGCACTAAAGAGATCCATAGTTGCTCAAAGGCCGTAAGTGCCGAGTACAGATCTAAATTTGTTTTATTATTCCGTCTTCACTCTTTAATTTTTGATTGCACTTCTAAAATCATGTTGAGCTTTTTGCATAATCTTGTGCGATTTTTGTTATGATAGTATTTTAAATGAATTGATATTAATCGTGTTTTAAAGATTGTATTTCATTGCAATTCTTTCATTAGAATTAACAAGAGGACCATGGGCCACATTGCTCACCTGAGCACATTTGCTAGGAAAAAGCAGAAATCAGTTCAGTATTGAACGGGGGGGGGGGGGGGGGTAATTCACACTAATGAAATCTGAAGATAACGAACAGTATTCAATCTGGAAAGTCCAATGAAACTATACAATTTTGTAGCAGAGCAAACACGGACCTCAAAATTTAGAGGAGGGATCAGGTGTCATGGAGGAGTAAGCATCCCCTGCTCAGGATGCTTTCATATCAATAGTACAAATCATGGCTTTGCTGTTCTTAAACAGAAGAATTTTAAAGATATTTTTTCTTATGTTTTCCAATGTAAAACTCTGATCTCTCATTGTGGTCCCACCCTACCCACATACCTACCTAAATTTGAATAAATTTGAATCTACACTACCTGAGGATGCTTCTATAATAATATGACCAATCATGGCTTTGCTGTTCTTGAGCAGAAGATTTTTTCAAGATGATTCCTATATATTCTTATGCAAAAATTTGACCCTCTGTTACACCCCCCTCCCCTAAACCCCTGAGGGTCATAGTTTGAACAATTAAATTGATTCTACAATACCTAAGGTTGCTTCTGTATAAATATGACTAATAGTGGCTTAGTTGTTCTAGAGAAAAAGATTTAAAAGATATAATGATTGGAGTGATTATTAGGACATCTATGTCTGAGGATATATCACACGGTACTTACATTTTCTCTTATCTAGAGACGGGGACTGGGGTTAGGTACTACTTGCACCGTGTTTCTCCCCTAGGTTTCCATTGATAAGTAAGAATCGGATGTCTCAATCTTCTTCAGATTTACTTCAACAAGAACTTATCGATTCCTTAGGATCCTTGAAACTGGTGTTTATAAAGTTTATACTTATTTTGCTCTTACCTTTAAGGTTTTCCATCCCTAATAGGACCAAATTCTCTATCCTTAAATGTGCATCACGTACATTATACTCTGATATTAAGTTAAAGCATTTTACAGTAGAAAAATGTTTACCAAGAGAAAGTTTAAAAAATGTAATTAACTAAGCAGTAATTAATTAACAAAGATTGTTTTGAAGTCTATGGGGAAAAGCGATTTTTTAAAAAATCAAAATTCAAATAATAATATCAATAAATCCTGTGGTGGAAAGATGCACTAAAACATTAGAAATAGAATGACAATTGAAAACGATTTTTTTTTACCGGAGGTTTTTATTAAATTAATTTTTTTATTAATTAAAAACAGAGGGAGACAACTCCTACCAAAATTCAAGATAATAAATTAGGACACATCCCACCCATACATGTTAATAGTAATAAATGGGAATTATGTCTCTCAACCCCCTACATATCTCTTATGTATTTAATTTCAT